AGCATCAAGGGCGACAGCCTTGAATCCCTCTCCAGCCTGAGCACCGGGTCCACCAGCCAGCACAGTGGCCTGGCATTTACCAGCCAGTGAGACTGCCGTCATCTCCCCATACAAAGCACCAGCCCCTGGTTCACTTCCAGCTACTGCGAGAGCCTCCAGGTTTCTGCCTTTCCAGCTGATTCTTGCTGCATCCGGTGCAATAACCTTAAATCCTGCCCGTGGCTGCCGTTAACGCACTTCAGAGAGGCAGTGCTCATTACTACCTGCAGTGCTAGCACTGATTTTTTTTGTCATCAGTTAAGAATGGAGGTACGTGGTCCTCGGAGGAATCCCAGCTACCTCTCTGATCTCTATCAGAACATGTTACGGGCTGAAGAAGCACCAGGACGAGGGCAGCAGCAGACCCCAGCAGTCCATACAAGTAGCAGCATGACTCTTCGGAGCAGTTCCCCAGCCAAGGGTGGCCCCCAGCCAAATAAGCTTCAGAGCAGCACTTCTTCCAGCTGTGACCCAGCGTTACGGCCTATCATACGCCGCCGAGCGAGATCTTTGCCAACATCCCCTGAAAGAAGGAAGCAGGCAGCAGTGCAGTGTCGTGTTCCTGGATGCCAGAGTCGTATGAACCGGGTGAGATTTGCTGATGCTTTGGGCTTGGAGCTTACTGAAGTGAAAGTCTTCCAGACCGGGGAGGATCCATCAATCCCCTTGCATGTCCTTTCCAGGCTCTCCATAAACTCAGACCTCTGGTACAGCAGCTCACACTTGGAGTTTACCATGCAGTGCTTGGTCCCTGACTTCCAGCAGCCTGCAGATTGTATGGATTTCTCCTCCCGACTTCAGGAGCAGCAGGTGTGTCTTGAACGAGTAACCAGCTCAGATTTGGGGCTCAGTGGCACCATCCAGGTTCGCAATGTTGCTTTTGAGAAGCGAGTATCTGTGCGATACACCTTCAACCAGTGGAAGAGCCTCCATGAAGTGTGTGCTCATTGGCACAGTAGCATCCCTGAGAAAAACGGCCAGGATCAGGTTGATGTTTTCACTTTCTTTCTCCCTGTGCCTCCTTTCCTCCTTCAGCTGAGCTCTGTAGTCCAGTTTGCAGCAAGGTACCAAGTCAATGGTCGAGAGTATTGGGATAACAACAGAGGCAAAAACTACAGTCTTACCTGCAGGACTCACCCCCTTAAGATGCCTAGAGAATGTGAGGAGAGCTGGATCCACTTCATCTGAAGGAAGAACGTGGATGCAGAGCAGCTTGTCAGTAGTCTTGGTGACACTTTCTTCCTTGGCATGGCTCTCTGCTCCTATGGCAACAGCCTCCTTCTTGAAACGTGCCAAACCTGGCAAAGCGCTCCAGGGCAGGGGAGTAGCCAGTGACCCGAACAAACTGTTCTAAACCTCTCAGAGAGAAAAAAGGGCCAAAATGTGATTGAGTTACATCCGCCGAAAGCCCGAGGGATTTCTTGTAGTGTATGAGTCAGTGCAGAATGGTTTCAGGGGATGCTGTCAGACTTGCAGAGAGCAAAACAAGACACTTCATGTTCCTACTAATATTCTAGGTTGCATACAATGTTTCTATTTTACCACTTTGTACTGTCTCTTTTCTAAATGGGCAGTGTGGCTTTTCTAGTTTTGTTTCTAATTTTGTTTATATTATCTCACCAAGTCTGGGCACTGTTCCATTTATGCATAATTTGGATGGCAGACACTGTAGGGAAGTACTTATATTTTTTATATATTATTGAGGTTGTAACCATGTTAAACAAATATTTCCATTAATATTTGGGTTGGAAATGAAATGTTATTATGAGCAAAATGCACATGAAAATGTCCCATCAGCCCGTCTGTTTCCCTTTAGAAAAGATGTTTGTTTTTTTTTTTATCTCCATTGTTTGCTGTAGGAATGTTTGTAGCAGGAACGATTGTTGCCAAAGTTTGTATAAGGCAGATTTTCTTGGGAAGTTCTCATCTTTTTCAGGGGATGCACGAGTAGGCTTTTTCTCCAGGTGGTAGTACAGGAATTGTCCTTTCCTTGTGCACCTGATTTTACTAAGGGAAACTAGAGCAATTTTGCACTTGTGTTGCAATTACAGTTGAAGATCTCAAAGCTCTATATGAATGCTAATGATCTTGCACTGTTACCTGCAACAGGTAAATTTATAAATCAAGAAATGGATATGAGAGATACATACATAATTAAAAACAAAAAAAAGACAATACAGGTTACTGGTTACAGAGCCTTGGGGTAGCACACTGGAATCTTCAATCCTGGCCGTGTGTTCCCCAGTGTCCCTGTACTATTTTGGTAGTACCTTTGAATTCTTTAATTAACTAGTTTTCATAAACCAGTTGAACTCCAAGACTGTATACTTTGCAACACAAAGCAGGAACTTCAAAGCAAATTGATGATTATATTGGTAAACTGCTATTTGCACAGACCCATAAAAAGAATCTCTTCTGCAGCAGGGAGAGCACAGTAAACACACAGTCTTCTCATGCTTCTTGCCTCACTACTTTCCATTTTGTGGATTTAGTATGGTTTAAGATTGGCAACAGGCTTAAATCTAGTAAGTGAGAGATAGTCCATGATTTTTTCATACATGTTCATAACTGCATGGAAGGTTTAGCTTTATATGTGTAGCATAAATTTTCAGAACTGGCTGGGTGGATGTATTAGAAGAGCTGCTTTTTAGGACAATACTATGAAAATCAGGCCACTTATTCAGGTATTTTATTTTGGATTTCTGCTTGCTCATCAAAATCACAAGTTGTTTTTAAAATCACCATTGTAAACAACCCACTGCTAGGGTATATATTAGTCCCAAAAGTCTACTGAGTAATTCTGGAAGTGCAGAAACCCCAAGAAAATTTATGTATCTGGCAGCTTAATGTTACTACTTAGTTGTGATACCCATTTAGCAAAGCTAGAATTTCAAGTGAAGAAGCTGCCTGGTTCCATTAGTCTCTGGCTTTCAAAGGAACCGAAGTAATGAATGATGATTCTATGAGCTGCTGAGCACCTCTTGCCGAGTACTGAGAAATCTAAATCCTTTTTGAAACTGTTGAGAATTGACTGTTGTCTGCTTTAACTTTGTATTGGAGCACTGTGAGGTTGAACATTTAAGTTTAAATTGTTTTGAAGGAGTTGATGAGGCTGAGGTGCAATTTGCAGCTACAGAGAGGA